ACTGCAATGAACCAGCTCGTTTATATATACTTGTACGATTGAACGCCATTATAACAAACAGGATGGATATACAAGGCAATACGGACCATCTAATTATCTGAATGCGTAGCCAAGAACCAACCTGGATTCCTCATAACATATAATGTTGAACTGTCGCTATTCAAACAATGCCTACAAGCCTGGAAAATTAAAGATATCTATCTTGGATTTTTTGGTAAGAAAGTTGCCATGAACATTACGAAGATTACCATTTACTGATAATCGAATACAACTCGTTGGCTATTCGATTTGAATTGAGCAAGAAATTAGTTATAAGTGGTAATTCCCGACGAAACACTCTTGTCTGGGACGAATTTCAAATCACAAGAGGTTATCAATTAAAGGTAAAAGCAATAAAAACAGATTAATGACACTTAAGTTACAGTAGCATTGTCATTATTAGTATACAATTATACCATTGGAAACATTTTTATATTAATATGTGGTTAACTATTTGGCAATTAATAGCCATTTCAAAAGGGACCCTTTACTATATGATTTCAATTTGTCTTGACAAATTAGGTATTTCATCGAGTAATTGCCATTTCTGCCAAAACACGTTTTAAGAACGAGGCCAACATGCACTCTATATTTTTTTTTATTTGTGGTTGATGAAAAGGTACAGAATTAGTGCACGCCATCTAGTACTGGTAGGTGAACTGGTCTCGGTTTCTCATCAGAGTTGGAGATAACCCTAAAACTCCATGCAATTAGAGCAGATTTATTAAATTGCGAGAAAGCATTTATTTTGCAACAAAGCGCGCAAATTCATTGTACTTGTATTCTTCTTTTGATGTCCATTCTAATTATTTAAGTACTTTTAAGGGTTAAGTTACCGGTCAAAATATACGAACCTCGATTTATATATAGTCGCCTTGTGACTTGCTTGAGTCGGGACCTATACAACTCCTATACAGTTCCGCTTTCAATGAATCGGTTTGTCTATTGTCCTGTATGGTTATGTTTGATCGGCCGAAAAACTCTATGCCTAGACCCTTGCCAAGAGTAAATCAGTCAAGTAAGTACTTACGTACCTTCCTCTGTCGCAGGATTTCTTTTTGTCCTTTTTCTTCTTCCCCATTTCTCGCAAAAAAAGATATGTATAAATCGCTTTCTCTGCCTCCTGGCGTTGACAGCGCGTTGAGGAGTTGCGTTACAGTGCCCCCAACAATTAATAAATTAAGAATATGATACCATGATTTCGTCAAACAACCAGGACTTCGTATGACAGGAACTGCCGCCAGCTGGAAGCAAGAATAGGTAATGTACCTCGGCCAGGAAATTCTATGGACACAAACCTTATTATGCGGAAAAATATTGTGGTAAGAGATTTTTAGACCGTGTAATAAATCTGATCCTTGATTCGGGCTTAAACGCCTTGTGATCCCTGATCCCATTCTTCTGAGCCCTGAGCCTTTTCCTCTGAGCCCTGATCCCAGTCATATTTTGGGCTTTGAGCCCTGAGCCCATATACCATGTTACGACCCAGAAAGACAAGATTGGCTCCCATACACGAAATCACAAAACCAAGATTGGAGTTGACTCAGTAAAGCTAAGCCAGCCATACGAGAAGAGCCAGAGAGCAGCATAGATCAAGTTGATAAATGCAGCAATAGCGACACGAAGCGCTTCCGCATGATTCAGACAATCTGTCTTACTATTATCTAGAGCAAATTATCACCCTTAGAGTAGGGGTTTGTCAGTCGAGATGACAATCCGTCGGATGATTAGGTTCAAGGCCTTATCTGAAGAACTAACGAAGAATGGTCGATGGCTGAATGGACCAACGTTTCCTTATGGAGGTACTAGGCTCGCTGGCCTGCAATAATTTAAGTCCCGGAACTGATACATAGTGACCCAAAGTAAGGGGAAAAAGCAAGATTTAAGCCACTACTGCTTCTTAAAATCCTCTTGACAAGTTAATATATCAATATTTTTTGTGGTGGAAAATAAAAACGTCATTTACTTGGCTGATGTAGTAAAGTTTACGAGCAGAAACAGGGAAGTGTCAAAACCAGTACGCCATCCTTAGTAACAGAGGGTTTTTAAACGGGAGTCTTACAGTGGAAGAACGTCATAAGGCTGAAGTACCGTAAAATTCTGAAAATAAGCCCCTCCAAATATAAGCCCTCCAAACTCGTAACGCAAAAAACCCTCCGTTAAATCGCCCCTCCAAATATAAGCCCTCCCGGGGGCAGGTACTTGGAAATTGCCTTCAAATACAAAGTAAAACAAAGCAAAAAACGGTAAATTTCCTTCCAACTATAAGGGTAGCCCAATCGATTTTGAGACGCAAATTTCCTTCCGTAGATATGCCACTCCAAAAATACGCCCCTCAAAAAGGGCCTTTGAAAAAAATAAGCCCTGGGGCTTATCTTCGGAATTTTACAGTAACTGCGTTCCCGGAGGTATTTAAGGCACCTTCTATCTTGTCGGACGAAAGACAAGTCAAAAGGATTATATGAGTAAAGGCTCATCAAATTTTAAGTTAGGCCAAAAGTTGACAGGTGTATTATTATCCTTTCATTCGTCCAAAGTATGACTATGTCACAGAACTAATAATTGCTTTTCCTATCACCATGAGAACGTAGGTCACCTTGGACAGGGGTCTGTGTTTTTATCTCTCAGAGAAGGTTCTGGACTTGTAAATGGACGTTCTGTAGTGCGCGAGTGTTAACGGTAGTGAAGACTGTTTTTTTAATTATTATTTAATTTATTATTTATGTTAAATTTACATCACACAAAACGTTAGTGCATATTACAACTTGACGAAACAAACATAAAAATAGCTGAGGTTACATTTATGCTTGAATTCGCTTAGCTACTTCCATTTAAAGGAAAGGACGGTGAACGGTG